CTTATCATTTAACCCTGAACAGTTGAAGAAGAGCTTGTCAAATCATTGGACAAGATCTAGCCTACATCTTATCATTTAACCCTGAACAGTTGAAGAAGAGCTTGTCAAATCATTGGACAGGATGTAGCCTACATCTTATGATTTAACCCCGAACAGTTGAAGAAAAGCTTGTCAAATCATTGGACAGGATCTAGCCTACATCTTATGATTTAACCCTGAACCGTTGAAGAAGAGCTTGTCAAATCATAGGACAGGATCTAGCCTACATCTTATGATTTAACCCTGAAGAGTTGAAGAAGAGCTTGTCAAATCATAGGACAGGATCTAGCCTACATCTTATGATTTAACCCTGAACCGTTGAAGAAGAGCTTGTCAAATCATAGGACAGGATCTAGCCTACATCTTATGATTTAACCCTGAACAGTTGAAGAAGAGCTTGTCAAATCATAGGACAGGATCTAGCCTACATCTTATGATTTAACCCTGAACAGTTGAAGAAAAGCTTGTCAAATCATTGGACAGGATCTAGCCTACATCTTATGATTTAACCCTGAACCGTTGAAGAAGAGCTTGTCAAATCATAGGACAGGATCTAGCCTACATCTTATGATTTAACCCTGAACCGTTGAAGAAGAGCTTGTCAAATCATTGGACAGGATCTAGCCTACATCTTATGATTTAACCCTGAACAGTTGAAGAAAAGCTTGTCAAATCATTGGACAGGATCTAGCCTACATCTTATGATTTAACCCTGAACAGTTGAAGAAGAGCTTGTCAAATCATAGGACAGGATCTAGCCTACATCTTATGATTTAACCCTGAACAGTTGAAGAAAAGCTTGTCAAATCATTGGACAGGATCTAGCCTACATCTTATGATTTAACCCTGAACAGTTGAAGAAGAGCTTGTCAAATCATAGGACAGGATCTAGCCTACATCTTATGATTTAACCCTGAACAGTTGAAGAAGAGCTTGTCAAATCATAGGACAGGATCTAGCCTACATCTTATGATTTAACCCTGAACCGTTGAAGAAGAGCTTGTCAAATCATAGGACAGGATCTAGCCTACATCTTATGATTTAACCCTGAACAGTTGAAGAAGAGCTTGTCAAATCATAGGACAGGATCTAGCCTACATCTTATGATTTAACCCTGAACCGTTGAAGAAGAGCTTGTCAAATCATTGGACAGGATCTAGCCTACATCTTATGATTTAACCCTGAACAGTTGAAGAAAAGCTTGTCAAATCATTGGACAGGATCTAGCCTACATCTTATGATTTAACCCTGAACAGTTGAAGAAGAGCTTGTCAAATCATAGGACAGGATCTAGCCTACATCTTATGATTTAACCCTGAACAGTTGAAGAAAAGCTTGTCAAATCATTGGACAGGATCTAGCCTACATCTTATGATTTAACCCTGAACAGTTGAAGAAGAGCTTGTCAAATCATAGGACAGGATCTAGCCTACATCTTATGATTTAACCCTGAACAGTTGAAGAAGAGCTTGTCAAATCATAGGACAGGATCTAGCCTACATCTTATGATTTAACCCTGAACCGTTGAAGAAGAGCTTGTCAAATCATAGGACAGGATCTAGCCTACATCTTATGATTTAACCCTGAACAGTTGAAGAAGAGCTTGTCAAATCATTTGACAGGATCTAGCCTACATCTTATGATTTAACCCCGAACAGTTGAAGAAGAGCTTGTCAAATCATTTGACAGGATCTAGCCTACATCTTATGATTTAACCCTGAACAGTTGAAGAAGAGCTTGTCAAATCATTGGACAGGGTCTAGCCTACATCTTATGATTTAACCCTGAATCATCTCAGCCCTATCTGACTATCATATAATATCTTGTATTTAACAATAATTTAGCAAATTATCAACATATCTAGCTAAAATTTTCAAAACTTTTTCAACTTTTGTTGTTTTATGTTTCATAATTTTGTAAGCATCAACTGCACACTATTAATTTTACGGCATCAGTCCAACTTTTTGATGACCCCTCATAATTGCAAGTTTTTAATTTCTATATGTAATTACAAGTGTTTTATTAAGAGCTGGCAAATGAAGATTTTTTGGCCCACTACCTGGAGAAAAATTGCAGCATAGTTTTTTTTCTTCCAAATAAAAATGACAAATATCTAAACATCTGCTTCTTTGCTTTCTTTGCTTTTCTAAGAATTACCTTCTCTCTCAAATACCAAAAAATAATAACAGTTGTGACCTCTTTGAAATAAACTAAAATCCTTGTGTCACCTGCAAACTCTGAAAGATAATTTATGGTATATTGTGCACGGATGTTTTAATTCTTTTCTTGTGTTTGAATAGATGGCATTTAAAGAAACTTTATCTCAAAGAAGCAGGAGGCAGTCCTGAAGTCCAAGTCCAAGCTTCAAGAACAGAAGCAAAAGAGAGTTTTATGTGAGAGAAAGAAGGAGGTAACATTTGATTTACATATTGTCCCCCACTTTCACGAAAGCAAGGGGATATTAAATCTCATTCCTCTCTTTGTCTGTCACAAAATCTTTAACCTTGATCATAACTTTTGAATGAGAAAAGATTGGGCTTTCATATTTTACATGTACATTACCTATGACAAGACTTTTAAGAAAGGTATATCATTTTTGACTTCATGTTTTTGTTCTGGAAGTTTGAAGGACACACAATCAAGATGGTTACAATTAGCTGCAGAACTGTAGCTCTCTGATTGAGAAAATTCAGACAGATAAAGCAGAGAGCTACAGATCCAAGCGTTGTTAAAACCTTCGATTTACGGTGACACAGTTTTGTTGCTTACTTCAGGTATTATTTCTTATGTTTTCTCCCGCTTTAAGAATGGTATCTGATAATTAATCATATATTTTACTCCTATACATTTGATACATTAGTGGTGTTGAAATCTGCAGAAAAATTTGAAAAGAAATGCTGTGGAATAAAGTATTTTTCTCTGAGATTTTAATAAGACAGTAAGAAAAGATGTTTTACTAATTGAACAGAAAACAGGGCTCCAAAATATCAATGTGGGCTAGTAGAACTTGTAAAGTTGGGGGCCTACATGGCCCATAAGGTTTAAGATGTTATTTGCAACCCTGAAGTATGTATCAGTTGTGAATATCAGGGAAACCACTTTACATTAGAAGTACAATAAAGAAAATGTCTTAATGAAGATACAAGCAAAGAAGTTATTGCCCTTAACAACTTTTTTAAAGATTGAATAATTGATTAAATAAAGAAAATATTCAGTTTTTTTATTCTTATACTAAACAATATTTTCATTATACAGTACCCGCATCGTTATTCTTTACAGGATACACGATACGATAGGATACACGCACGATACGATAGGATAAACGCACGATACGATAGGATACACTCACGATAGGACCGGATACACGCACGATAGGATAAACGCAAAACACGATAAACGCAAAATACGATAAACGCAAAACACGATAGACCTGATAAACGATCTTCACGATAGGATAAACGCAAAACCTGATAGGATTGTTTCAAAATGCGAAACCTATTTTGACAAGACGAATTGTTTCCTTTTTAGATACACTGTAGTATGATGATTTTAATTACTTACAAAGCCGCAAATCTAAATGCTTAAATATATTAAATGTATTATGATTAAACATTTGCTTTGTACAAGAAACATGTTTTGTTTTTGTTTTTTTGTCAATAATGGTTCGTCACAAAATTCAAACTGTAATTATTTTAGGTAAATTGCACTCTTTGGTGGGAATTATGCGATTGCTTGTATAATAATTCAAATGTCGAAATTCCCTCGAATCGTTAAATTTGAATTTTAGTCGTTTAAAAACAGAGATTTTAATGATGGTGGCTCAAAAATTCCGTAGTTAATCGAAGTTTTAAAACCAGGTGCAATAATTCATGAAACGCTATAAATATATTCAGATTTTAACAAATGAAACCTTATGAATTTATTATCAAATATTGAGTATATATCCGGAAGAACTCTGTTATTAATGAAATATTTGGATTCAGTATCTTCTGCTAGAAGTCTGTGATGTATCCAAAATCACATTAATTTAAATTATCGGTATTTAATAATTCAAATCTTACGAAAATAATTTACTAGTCAGTTTACGGGGGGAAAAATTATGATTTTGTTTTTATTTATATTATTTTTTTTTACGTTTTAAACACGTTACTTGCTGAAATATGCTAGTTGCGTTGACACAGGCTGTGCACTGGACTGAGATTATATAATCTCTCCTCTATAAATATACATGTACATGTATATGTCACAAATATACGGTACGAAAATTAATCATTTACATATTCCAAGTACATACATTGTATATATATATATATGTGAAGAAGGATAACGGCCGAAAGAAATCGAATTTAACAGAATTAATAAACGTCACTAGATCATCTAGTATCCGAAAAGAATATCGCATTTCCATTCTTTTGTATTTATTCTCTGGTATTTCCAATGTCATAGGCCTGTATAGGACCCAGAAGGGAGAACGCAATCGTTACAGTGTACCAACATGTTTAGTATAGAGTAAAATATAATGCTTATATAATATCGCCCGTCAACAATAATGTCTTTAGCCTCTTTTTTTTTTGTCAAAACATTTCTTTTTAGACCCCCCACCCCCAACCCTAAAGAAATGAAAATTCTTTCTACACAAGCCTCGCCAACCTGCTTTTCCGCGATTTTATTTTTGCAACCTGTCTGCGTTTCCGCGACTACCCTATACTGCTTTTCCGCGATTGAATTTTACTATAAGTGGTATGTTTTCTCCTTTTTTCCGATACCTCCTTTTCGCGATTTTTTTGAAAGTTAGTCTCATAACTGCAACTGCACAGTGTGTGCAAACAAACTGAGTAATGCTTCAATGCTTATATTTACATTCTTTGCCTTGACAGTGAAATTTTATGTAATTTATACTTCAAAAAAAAAAAATCCTTGTATTATCCTTCAGGTAAGTTACAATTAATGTAAGATTTGTCTTGATGTAGGAAGCATGTACTCATGACTTTCATAAATCCTAAAATTCTGATAATAATTCAAGGAGTATGTAAGTTAGAATAATCTAACTGTGTCTCGAGACATTTATCATTTTTATGATCATAGAAAATTCTCTCTAAGGAGTATGCAAAGAATTACCATTATTATTTATGTTTAATCTTTTTGTACAGTTTTATAGTAAGTTAGCACATCATTATGCTTTGTCTTTGATTTCAGAGACATAAAAACCATAACATTTTTTTTTTGGTTCGATTTTCAGAGGTAGTGGTTCAGGAAACTCAAGGACTGGGGTAGAAGCCCAAAAACAGTACAGCAATTTGAAGCAGAGAGGTTTTTACTTCTAACTTTACTTTCTTGCTTACATCATGTACATCTTTCAGGATAGAGTAGGAACACAATTAATATAAATTAAAAAGTCAGAAGCACATCAGGGTTTGACATTAACTTTTATGAGCACTAGACCAGTCGGGCTACTTCCCATAATTTTTACTAGCCCTGACCATAAAATCACTAGCCCTGACCAAACTTGAAATTTTACTTTTTATAACCTGCTAGTTATTATGGGGAAAAAAATTGGAAAGCATACTTTAATAAAGATATCGTCTCTTGCACCTGTTAAGATATATTTCGACAGACTGTTCCATAGGACGCAGGCCATTGAGTCGGGATAAGCGGGACATGCAAATATTATAAGCCTTAAAGAACACTCAACAAACTTTAATAAAATAATTACCCTATATATAAATAAATTAAAGAATATATTATATATATTATACATCAATAACTATTCATTCCAATTTACACTGAACGAAGCTAGTTTCGATTACAGCTGAATTAAAAATAGCAATTGTGTCTGCGGGAAAATTTTCTTCTACAGAGTGATGGCTGTGTTTATAATCAGACAAATAAGATTAAAAATTAGAATATTTATTTGAAAGACTGAAATGAGGGTTAACTTTATATAATTTAATTTTGTTTGTATTCTAGCCTCTGATTGGTTAATATCCAAAAAGGAACACAAATTATTTCTGTATAACCTGGTTTGGTATGGGGACACACCCCCTTGACAACCAGCTGAATCATCTGTATCCATACAGTCCTCTCATTTCCAGTCCTCGGGATTCATGGAAAATTCCAGATTTAATAAATGTACCTTTAATTTCAAACGATAATTCGATCTTACCACATGTAACCAAACAACATGGCTGCTAGGCCTATGTATCAGTTTTTACCTCCCCTCAATTCCCATCACTTCCGTTACTTCCGTTACTACGGTTGTATTATTGAGCGGCAAATTTGAACTAATAAAAAGTAACGAAATTTTACACCCATAGTTATTTAATGATTTTAAAATTAAATTATAAGGAATGACTCTAATTCTTGGCCAAATTATTCGAGTATAACCTGGTTTGGGTCAGTTTACGCTGTTTTATAATCCGCTTCGCGGATTATAAAGCGTAAACTGACCCAAACCAGGTTATACTCGAATAATTTGGCCAAGAATTAGAGTCATTCCTAAATTCATCCACACGACCAGTCGGTCTAGATCACGAACATTTTACACGACCGGACCACTCATTTACCAGACTGGGTCGGTCGGACGTGCCTTAGTGTCAAACCCTGCACTTGTAAATTTTTTCAAGGAATTATTTTAAGTACACATATAAACTATCTTATGATGATGTAAATTTTTTTCTAATTTTCTCTGCAGTGTGCACAAAAAGCACTATCATTATGCCCAAACACTAGTAAAAATTTAGACGGGCTAGTAAATGTAGGTTGGCACAAAGGTGATTGGACTTAGGCTAAATATTTAGCCAAATTTTCCATTTCTATATCATATAATGTACGATTATGGTGTACCGGACTGCATTCATGTTTTAAATTAAAACAAAAACACTTACATTCCAGGATCAAATAACTGCATAAATGCTGTTATGTCATGTGACAATGAAATGACAGAACAATTAAGGATAGTAGAAATTTGATTTTTGAAAATAAATTTGAGCCTTCAGATTAAATCTACAGTTATATGTATCAGGCTAGTACTGATAAAAATATTGGAGGGTAATCATTTGACAGTCATGTAGACTTTACATTTGTAGAATTGCCTTAGTATTTTATTCAGAGCTTGGCAATATAGATTCCGGTAAACAAAGTTTACATTCAAAAATACACACATTCACAGTATAAACTCAAAGTCAACACAGTTGTATGTTCGGAAACTTCATGCTAGGATGTTGGAATTACCTACTTACATATGTAGACTATAAATCTGATACAATTGCAAGTTTGGATTTACAAACTTGCATGTCTGGATTTTTTAACAGGATTACCCTCCATATAAAAAGGGATTCAAGCTAGTAAAATTTTTTCCATTACTAGACCGACTGGGCAAGTGCTTAAAAAGTTTGTGGTGCACAATGTATCAAGAAGAAATTGAATTCAATATGTTCTTTGTTCACATTTATAGTAAAGTAAACATTTTTTTAAACACTTTTAAAGCATGTATTCTGTATATGTATTCAATATAACAATTGTCTATTAAAAAATATCATTAAACTGTAAAATAATTTTAGCCAAAGGAAAGTTGTCGGAGATGAAGAGGCCTAAGACAGGTGGTGGTCCAAAGCCCCCAAGTCCATCTCCTGCAGAAAAATCCATCTTGGATAACTTGGAGGGTAGACCTTCATTGGAAGGTATATCTGGAGGGATAGATACAGCTGGTAATAGACACTTAACACTTTTAATAATTAAAAGTAACTGACAAACAACACCTTTGCAATGTATCTCTGTATTATGATTAGTATATGTATTAAGTCACAGTTTTCAGCAAATTCAAATTTGTGGCAACTGCATGTACATGAATGTAACTTTAAAAGATTTTTAACTTGTGCATTAGATTTAGTCAATGAGCAGTGTTGTTGAAACAATCATTTACCATACTTTACTATACATAAAATATCAGATAGTAGACATTAGGGAAGGTAATTGAGTATGAAATTGCCAATATGTTAACTGCAAGACATTATTTCAATTTTAATAGGAAAAACAAGATGTGTTTGTGAAACACTATGCCCCCAATGGTAACACATTTCTGGAGTGGGACGTAGAGTACAGTGCAATAGTTATGGCCAATGTTAAAGTTCTTCAAATGTAGGTCAAAGGTCACAGTTGAGGTCACATGATCAAAAATTTCTGTACCAATGGAAAGGTCTTGTCATAATGAACACTCATGTCAAATATTAAAGCCTTACCCTTGACAGCGCAATAGTTATGGACTAAGTTAAAGCTGACAACAGACAGACAGACAAACATACAGCTAAACAAACCGACAAACAGGGCAAAATCTATATAATCCCCAAAAATCTTTCATTTCGGGGACATAAAAAAAAATCACAAAAGTTGCTACACAAGTTCATTCTGCATTTACATCATAATCAAAACTAAGTCTAAACGATCTCTAATTTACAATGTTTGTTTAATAGATCTGTTGCCAACCCAGCCTTCCACCTCCTCAGATATGCCTGAAAAGAAAAAAGATGTCAGAGGTACTATAAATGTTTGATAATAAAATTTTATAGGGTAAAAAAAGCAATGGCCCTTATGGTAGTTGCGTAATATCTATTCTGTGTGCTATCTCAGTATTCACATAATTTTTATGCCCCTACCAAAAAATGGCCAGATATACAGTATTATACATTTATTCACTGGGTTTGAGGGTAACATGCGTTTTGTCAGATCCAAGAACCAAACTGTTGCCTGAGGCAAACAGTTTGATTCGAGAGGCCAACAAAACCCATTTTGCCTGAGAACACAGTCAGTAAATGTTATGTTGTACCTTTTACTTTTTAGCTCACCTGAGCTGAAGGCTCAAGTGAGCTTTTCTGTTTACATTTTGTCCAGCGTCCGTCTGTCTGTCTGTAAACACTTTACATTTTCAACTTCTTCCCAAGAAACACTGGACCAGTTTCATCCAAACATGCCACAAAGTATCCGTGGGTGAAGGGGATTCAAGTTTGTTTAAATGAAGGGCCACACCCTCTTCCAAAGGGAGATGATTACAAATTAGTGAAAAATTAATGGCATCTTTGAAAAATCTTCTTCTCAAGAACCACTGGGCCAGGAAAGATGAAACTCATGTCGAATCACCCTCAGATAGGTCAATTCAAGTTTGTTCAAATCCTGACCCCGGGGCTAAGGTGGCACAATGATGAAAATTCAAACGGATAGGAAAAAAGCCACAGTTAGTCAAAGAAATATATAAGCATCCATAGTTAGTGTAGATTCAGCTCAAGTTTGTTTCAAATCATACCCCCCCCCCCTTTTAGGGGTAGGTCATGACCACTTAACCTTTTCAATGCTGAACTGATTTTAGCTATTTTCTAGCCACAGTGCACAGGTGAGTGATGTGACCCATGGGCCTCTTGTTATTTTGAAATATCATGATGTAAATTTCGTTTACTCGCACTGCAGTTCTGTCGAACTCCAACAATTGCAAATAAGATATAGCTGACCCTGCCCTCTCTGTGACGTCAGAGGTTCAACATCTCATCGACAGGTCAAACATCTCACTCTGCGGTTAAACATCGATTTCTTATGCCCGCTCAGTAAAACACAGGAGATGTTAGACTTTTTTTTAGTATAGAATTATATAGGACACAATTTTTAAAAATATAACAAAACCCATTTCTGTTGTCATTCTGTCATATTTAGTTTTCTGGATTATTTAATGCTATGCAAAAGGTAAAAAGCTGATTTATGATTTATTTCTTCATATTGATGACTTAAAATCAAGTTAAGTTTCAAGTCAGTTGACTTCCATAGAATCTTTCTTACATAGTGCCATTGGTCATCTCATGTTGAATAGTTTACACCTATTTACTGACAAAGAGAACAAAAGCAAGTTTATTGTCCCTTGAGAAATAGTTGCTGTTGATTTGGAACAATAAAATTGCTATTGTAAATTATTTAGTCAACTGAGTAACTAAGGTGACCTATTTCTATCTTTTTGTGAACTTGAGCAATTATATTTAAAACTGGAGTGATAAGATGTGAATTTGAGACCTCAAGGTCCTGTATGTTCAGATTAAAAAGAGAAAGAATTCTATCATTTTCAGTTGTTTTCTTGTTTTAACAGATTCTGGTAAGTCATCAAAGAGGAGAATGACAATTCAGGATTTGGAAGAAAGGAACCTCTGTCTTGAAAATGATAAATTACAAGAAGAAATCAAGAAGATCAAAGATGAAAGAGAGCTTATCCAATCACAGAAATCTTATTATGATTTAAAATTTCAAATATTGGTTAATTCAAATCCAGAGGTTGTAGCTCAAATGTTAAAAAGTAATGAAATTTAAAAGTTTGTTAATGATTAATCAGGTAGTGTAGGGATATAAATGCATTTCTGGTGCTGCATGATGAAATATTGTAGTTACCATATAAAATTTTTAGGTCACCCAAGTTACTCAGAAGCCTTTTTATGCCCCGCCATGAATATGGCCGGGGCATATAGTGTTTGTCATGTCCGTCTTCTGTCCTTCCGTCTGTCTTTTCGTCACGCTTTGCATTTAGCTCTGTTCAAAGCTCAGTTGCAAAGAAACTATCCAAGATTTTTTTGTCAAACTTAATATGCTGATACATACTGATGAGAGCTATTCAACAGCATCAATATTTATTTACCTTTACCTTTCCTTTGACCTTGACCTCACTTTTCTTAAATTAATGTTTACCTCAGTTTTCAAGATACCATTCAATATTTTTATCAAACCTAAATATGCTGATATGTATTTGTGATAAGTATTCAACTGCATCTAAAACATTTGACCTTGAACCTTCCTGTGACCTTGACCTCACTTTTCTTAGATTTGCATTTTGCATAATTTTAAAGAAACCATTTAAGATATATTTATGTAAGTTTATGCACTTATACATAATTTGGTGAGAATTTATCATCTATATCCAACTTTTTAGATTTCAATTTCAATTTTAAAGAAACTATTCAAGATATTCTCATTAAATTTCATACATTAATACAAATTTACATGTTGCATTACTAATATACCCTCGGCTGAGCATTCATGTCCTATGGACATATTTCTAGTTGCTTTATGTTTTTGTCTGTCATCATGCGTCATCAGTCAACATTTGATCATTTTAAGCTTCTTCTTAAGAACTGCAGAACCAATTTTTAAAAAAAATTGGCATATAGCATCTATAGGTGAATAATTTAATTTTAGTTGTAACATGTCATTTGGTTGGATAATAGATTTCATTTATATCGTATAACATAAGTTGCCTATGTCACAATGAGTTACATCAAAAACGTATTACTCCACTTAAAGTTACTTTTAAAATATGCTCAATTTGAAGCCATTTTTGGAGGAAAAATTGTCTTATTGTCTACACTGAAATTAAAATATAAGGAATGAAGCTTATTTTAACCTATGTTATATGAAATAACATAACTTGGGGCAGTTTACGCTTTTTAGCTCACATGAGCTGAAAGCTCAAGTTAGCTTTTCTGATTACCGATTGTACGTCGTCCGTCTGTCCCTCCGTCCGTCTGTAAACTTTTCATGTTTTCAACTTCTTCTCAAGAACCACCAGGCCAATTTTAACCAAACTTGGTACAAAGTATCCTTAAGTGAAGAGGAGTTTAAATTGTTAAAATAAAGGGCCAAGTCCCTTTACAAGGGGAGATAATCAAGAAAAGACAAAAATAGGATGGGGTCATTAAAAAATCTTCTCAGGAGCCACTGGGCCAAAAAAGCTGAAACTTGTGTGGAAGCATCCTGGGATAGTGTAGATTCTAAATTATAAAAATCATGACCCCCAGGGGTAGGGCGGGGCCATAATAGGGAATCCAATTTTTACATTGAAATATATAGGGAAATTCTTTAAAAATCTGCCCTAAGTTATGTTATATCATATAAGATAGGTTAAAATAAGCTTCATTCCTAAAAGGGAAACAAGATCAAGTCCTCGTCATTTTCATTAGCTGTTTCTTGTCTACAATGTGTCACATAGTAAAGTAGTGGTAGATAATGCAATGGAGTTGATATGTTTTAAAGTCTTTCCAAATGGGGTCTAATTTGAGTATTCAGAGATTTTTTTATTGACTTCCAAAGGTAATGATTATCAGAAAGAAATGGTTGTACTTAATAAAAAGAGTCTGCTCAACAGAAACTATCAATAAAAAAAAGTAATACAAGGGGACTAGGGATATCAAGGTTTGTAAATGTACTTTATATCCCTACCTGCTGAAGGTTAAAAATGCTTAGAATTGTTATCACTATCTTTATCAAAGATGTTTTAATCTGTTACCATTATGACATGCAGATGTGCGTTTACATACTTTGACAAAACAATAGTTTACTTGTTTTAACTCTATCACAAAATTAATGAATTGTCATTCTCCTCTTTTTATGTCCTTACATGTTAGCTCACCTGAGCCAAAGGCCCAAGTCAGTTTTTCTGATCACATTTTGTCTGGCATCTGTCTGTCTGTCTGTCCATCAGTAAACTTTTCATATTTTCAATTTCTTCTCAAGAACCATTGGCTGAAGGGGAGATAATTATTAAAGAACTAGTGAAAATTCAATGTCTTCATTTCAGGAACCACTGGGCCAGTAAAGATGAAATTTTTTGGAAACATCTTAAGGTAGTGTAGATTCAAATTTAATCAAATCATAACCCTCTGGGGTTGGGTGGGGTCGCCAAAGGTGATCAAAGTTTAGAATTGAAATACTGAAAAAAAAATTTAGAAATTTTTCAGGAACTTCTGGACCAGAAGGGTTGAAACTTGTGTGAATCTTTAATATATAATTATGTAGTTTCAAATCATGCTCCCCAAGAGTAGGATGGGACCACAATGGCCAATCAAAGTGTATCATAAAGAGAACAGTAGGGCCATAGTGACTCGGGTGAGTGTTGTGAACCATGGACTCCTTGTTCAACATTTGTAAGTGTTCTTAAGCACTTGTGCTTATTAGATCCTCATGTAAATGTATGATGTATATACATGTATTAAAGATTGTTAGATGTAGCTTTTAAACCATTAACTCAATTAAATATTCTCATCAAAATCAGAATCTGGCTGTTGTTGTATTTTACCTGTAGCATTAAAATTCCCATATACCTTTAGAAATTCAAATGTAATAAAGTAATGTTAAGAAAATAGATTTACCATCTTCATAAGAAGTAAGTGTCTCTGATATGGTCCCTCACAGTGCGTCCAACAGCATCATCTTGCACTTGAAGGTCATCAGCCATGGCACACACATCATTCATAACATCGGCATCTTGAAGAATATCCCTTCGCTCAATGCCGATGTTATGAAGGATGGTACATGCTGTTACAATTCTGCAAGCTCTCTCCGGCTTGGTTCTAAGGCCACAGTGGAGGGCATAAAATCTTTTTTTAAGAATGCCGAAGGTCTGCTCTATGATAACCCTGACAATGAAAATAATTGAAGGTATAATATTCATGTATCATGGTTTTCTGACCTGAAACTTGAAATTTCTAGTATTGAAATGGTTAATTGTAAAGTCTGTTGCTCTATAGAAGAGACAAATCTAAAGAGTAACCTTGTTCTGCAATGTGCTGTGTTGAATCGCCTATTCCCAGGGGCATCCTCTGCCATGTAAGGGGTCATGAGATACGGTTTTAGGCCGTATCCTGAATCCCCAAGGAGAATCCCTGATAGCTGTCCTAAATTGCATTACAATTAAATAATTCATGAACTGTTTTAAATTTGTACATTATGTTGAAATTGTGAGTTTTTAATTTTTGAAGTAATTGTAGTAATTGCATGTATCCAATACACAAAGGTTTAAAAAAAATATGGCATATGTTAATTCTATCAACATGTAAATAGACTGTAAATTTAACATTATAGACTGTAATGTATTCACATGCCTTCTTCCATCATTTTGCACAAGCTCGATTCCCTAAAGATTCGAGCATCATGGACACTCCCAGGCCACCTTGCTACAACATCAAGGACTCTAAATTGTGGATCACATGTCATCTGAAAAATTAAATTAATGTAATGAATGAAAATATTTCAAACCGATAAAGTTGCATAAATTTATGATCGACTTGCACTGGACTTGTTGTATGACCCATAGCTACAGTTTCAAAAGAGGGGGGGGGTGACTAAACCACAAAAAAAATCAGACAGCTAAAAAAAACCCTTTTCAAACTCGAAAATTCTATTGGAAAGGGGGGGGGGGGCTTCACTTGGTATGTATATTTTTTAAATGCTGGAATTTGCCAGTGTTCAAACTTACAGCAAATAAAGGTTGAAGGGGGGGGGGGGGGGGTTGAGGGAAGGGGGACCAGTCCAGCATATAAATGAAAATTTATTACAACAATAAGAGACTATGCTCAGAAAAAAGTTGAGGGTGCCCCCCGTTCCCTCCACGCATTCTATGGTGTATCAGTTTTATAATAACTGTGTGTATATATTATGTCAGACTTGGCTTGTGTGGACAATGATAATATATATATATATATATAGTACATGTACCTGTATATTAAGAGCATAGTAACCTTTACGGCATAGATAATCAGATTCATTTTCAGCTGGAGCAATAATTTTTATCATGGTTCCATCCACGCATCCAACAATACTTGGGAATCCTAAAATAGAATTCAATTTTTATCAAAAATATGAACATTTCTATCCCTTTTTTTTTGTAAAGAGGGGGAAGGGGGGGGGCTAATTGTAATAGACATTTGATGCTAATGTTTGAAAAAAACATTTATACAATTACTTATTACGGTGAAAAGAATAAATTGCCTCAAAAGTAAGGATCCTAGAAAAATTTGACATAATGATGGACCGCATGCAGTTGTTTGATCCACCAACCTATTTTCTCAACAATATTTTCTTAAAATATTTCGTTTGTATGTGTCATATGGATGAAAATATATATATTGTATATTATATATACTAACATAGGATTAATTGAATGAATTCTATGTGGAAAGATTTCTAAAATACATGTATGCGTTTTATATATATGTAGTGTATATTATGAAATCGGGTTCAGGATTCGTTTTTTTTACGACTGGGTTAAGGTCAAATGAAAACAACAAGATGTGCAGACGCTTGTGTGTATTTTTTTACCTGCAATTTTGTGGAAGGCAGATTTAATGCAGATAGATTCATTTCTGTCAGGAAGTCGAACGAATTGTCTGACCTGTGTGCATAGAAGGTCTGTCACCCTGCGCACCGCTCTCCCTGCCGTACTCTTGGATACAGACAAAGTGTCCCCAAGAGTGATGTAAAATGACCCCGTTGCAAAATACCGGAGGGCAACCAAAACCTGGTACAAGGGTGTGAGGGGGTTGTTCCGCTGGCTGTCATAAAGCAGTTGGTCTTGAATAAGACCAACGATAAACATAATTGTTTCTGGGACAAACCGGTACCTTTCAAATACCTCAGCTTCATTAAGAGTTTCCAGTGGATTAGAACGGTCGTTCATTCTTCTTAAAATGGAATTTCGACGGCGACGTCGGCGCTGCAAATGTCGTCTGACTGCCATTTTGGTGAGTGATTTCACGTGAGAATTTATTTGAGGTTACTATGTTCCAATCTCAAGATTTTCTGACAAATCTCAGATTTTTTTCTCAGCTGAGTCGGAAAAAACGTTGGTGGCACGCATGTTTGAAAAAAATCTCAGATTTGAGAAAAATCTCAGATTTGAGAAAAAACTCAAAAGATAAGTCTGAGTTTGAGAAAATATTTATTTGGTGGCACAGTTTGGTGAGAAAAACTCAAATTTTTTGAGAAATCTCAGATTTGAGAAAATCTCAGCGTTGGTGGCCCCGAACACATAAAAATCTCAGCTCAAATCTCAGCCTCAAATCTTAGATTTCTGCCTCACCTGAGATTTTCCTAAAACACCGTGCCACCAACATTTCTGAGATTCGTCTCACGTGAGCTGAGATTTGAGAAAAATCTCAAATTGTTTTTAAAGTTGTAAGCGGCCATGAACATAATAAATTCTACTTTCACTTTATTGTTTTCATTTGTTTTATTACGAAATATAAGATAGCATGTATATTTACATATTGATATCGTAACAATCAATGACGTCACATGTAGAGACCGTCTGCAATATTATCAAACATGGCATCAGACTACGAGATAGCTATGGAAATCGCTAATAACAATGATAACTGTTCAACTGGATCCGCACCCGCCTCTCTCTTGAAAAAAAGACCGAATTGGACTGAGCTGGAGAAAAAGATTCTGGTTGAAGAAGTACATGCGATGGAGGGGGTACTGTTCGAAAAATTTAAGGGCGGATTCGGGGGGAAAGCAGCCAAAGAAAAGGCGTGGGCTGATGTGGCGGAGGCAGTGAATGGGTAAGTCATCTTCGGACGAGTCACATGATCTCTAGAGTAAAAATAGCAACAAAATGGCGATTGCAGACTGCACGATCTTCTGGAAGTGGAACTTAAAACAGATAAGTTGATATATAGCCTAT